GAAGATCTCTTATCTTAAACAAGAGCCTCAACCGCCCTGATGCTTTCTTGAGACTTTTTTCAAACTGAGAACTCAAACTCAGTGATCCGTCCACATGCATCCTCAGTCTGCCATCACAGCTTCAATTTTTGAATTGCAGAATAATTAGATGCACCATCTAGTGTATATAAGACATATATGGTTCCGGTGCATCCCTATGGCTAGAAATGTAATTACATTCAACTCTGATACATCTAATAGCTGCCATACCCTGATAAGTCGAAAATTTGAATATGATACTGTAGTACTGTACGTAAAATGTAGTAAAAGATTGTATGACAAAAAACTAAACTACGTCTTGGCAATGTTTTCTCCTAAATAGCGTTGTGTTTTATCTAACATATTGATTCAGAAAGATGTATTTTTTTATATAGTGGGGTTGGCAAAGTAAATAATGAAGATTTGCAAGAAACAGGTACTGTACAGTAGCATTTTCAGTGAAAAAAGTTATGTCTCATGGCATTTATTTTATTGCTTTATAGGAGTAGTTTTTCCAAACATTATTTATGATTGTTTGTCATTTTATATACATTTTTAGGTGTGAATCAACTAAAAAGCATGTTTCCAAACACTGAGGCAAACACCATAATAGAAGCACTGGAGAGTGCAAATGGTTGCGTGGAAACAGCGACGTTTGCACTTTTAAATGACGATGGTACATGTACTTGCAATTCTTCTATTCAATCCTTGAAAATATCCTTAAATTAACTTAATTAACCTATTATCACAATCATGAAAGCCCATTATAATGTAACATGTTAATCTCTTTTGTAGGACTAGATGATGAAACACAAATACTTTCAATCACTGAAATCGGTCCTCTAAGCACTGAAGGTAGTAGCAAAAGTAATTTGTATTCCGACATCGATTCATTTAAGAAAGCTGCCGTAGACGAAGATCTGCCACGACAGCGTTTTGTTGTGTCAAGGGAAGATGGAATGGAGGAGTTAAAAAGGGATATTCTAGGTCATTATAAAAATATCAGCTGTAAGTTAAATGCCAAACCACGTGTTACATTTGAAGGAGAAGAAGGTGTTGGTAGTGGTCCAATTAGGGAGTTTCTTTTATGTGCCATGAAAATTGCCCAAGATGGTGTTGGCGGAAGTAGACGTGATATTATATTCTTTGAAGGCGAGAAAGATCATCTTGTTCCTGTTCACGACCAAACATTGAGAAGCACAGGATCTTTTAGGGCGATCGGGAGGATAATTGGCCACTCGTTTATTCACAATGGCCCGCTACTTTATGGTCTGTCTCCAGCTGTTAAACGTTATTGGGTACTGACAGCTGCCAATAATGACGATGATCCGAATTTAATAACCCTTCCTGCAAGTATAACTATTACTGACATTCCTGATCTTGATCTAAGAGGATATATACAGGAGGTAAAATTTCTTCCCAAGATTTTTTAATTTATACTGTAAATTTATTATTGTTTTGTGCTATTGACGCTTTGCCTAATGAATCACTCTCTAATAGAAATCAGGCATTTGTTCTAGCACGAATTTTATGGGAAAACTTAATAAGAATAAGGAACGAGCTGGATCTGGAGCCAGTTGTATAAGACCGTAACTATTTTTTAACCACTATTCTACGTCTAAAATACGCGATTTTGATTGGTTAACTTTCGCACTAACTGCTGTTAACTTTGACTACCTTTTTATACAACCGGCCACAGGCGTCTTATTTTTAGAATGATTATGTACACAAACGCTTTACATTAAGGGCCTGTTTATATGATCCCGGCCAGGCGGGACGGGATGCTTACCGAGATCCCGCTCGTAATACAAATTCTAAAGAGTGTTTATATGATCCCG